CTGATGCTTTTACCCTCTTCTGTTTTGATTTAAGACCTCATGTGTTGTTAAGAGATTTGGACTTCTTTAGGATCCCAGTTTAAGTTGGTGATAAAAAAAAATTGTTGGATTGGCAAAGGATCTTAGTATAGCATGTAAATCTGTACCTGTTAATAAAGAAAATGTGAATTTGAAATCTGGATTTTAATTTATACTTAAACCATTTTCAAAGTAGACAAAAAAAGCCCCTTGAATATTACAATTACACAGGAGTTGGAGTCAATGACCCTTGTGGGTCCCTTCCATCTCAGGATATTGCAGGATTCTACGATGATGACATGCTCTTATATTTTTTGGAAATCTGATTCTAGGTCATCTTTCCCATCCATAGGAATCTTCATTGAGAAGATGAAATGATTGTTGGAGTCAGTTGCCCAACCCTGCTGCAGTCTTCACTAACTACTGAAAACCACATACAAGTATAGATGTCAAATCTTCTTTGTGAGGGCTAAGCTTTGAGTTCTATTTTCATGTCCTCATGTACTAATATAGCAAATTCAAAATAGTTCTGTAAATAGCATAAAAAGATGCAAAACTGTGAAAAATGAGAATAGGAATATAAAGCCGTCAAGAACGTGATGTTTTTATTTTATCAAAAACATCATGTTAGAAATTTTGACACTGATTTATAAGAACCAAACCAGTTGACAATCTACATTGCAAGAATTATCAATAAAGACAGTGCACAGAGGAATCTTAACACCCCTTCTCCCCCCATTAAAAGACAAGTGTAGGTGAGTGGAATTCCAGCTGAGTAGAATGAGGCTCACAATGAGTAAATTAATAGACCAATGTGATTGCTAAATGTCATTTGCTTGTTTGGTTTTTTTCTTTTTCATGATGCCTATAAAGCAGAAACCACTTCCCAGCTCATTGTGTTTACTTGTGTTCTATTATATAAATAAATCCCAGGATTCTCAGTTCAGTAAATATACTGAAAAAATATTTTGGGCATCCTGGTGTTTTCTGCTGGAAAAACTATTATTTCTTGAAATTGGAGCGAGTATAGCAAGGGAGCTTACCTCCTGCAGTCTATTATGTAAAGAAAATACTGGGAAAAGGATCCTTTCAAGGAAAATATATAGAAATTGACATTTAATATCTTTATAAGCCAGCATTTCTTGCATTGTTTTGTCTTTGTCACATTCTTTTTCATTAAGTATACCAAGTGCATAGAGACTGGAATTGCAACTGAAGAAATTATAAATTCCAAGAAAATTATCAATCCATTTCTTGACAAAGTTTGTTCCTCATATTCATTTGGACTTAGAGGCAATTGAAGACATCATTTGACTTTTTTAATCATATAATGCCTAGCATTTTCAGAGCAAATTAGAAGGACTAAGACACTAATTATTGAAATATTCTAGTTCTAGAGAGAACGGTTAATAAAGGTTCATTTTTATTTATTTATTTTTTTTTACTGCAGTAAAAGGGATGTAATATAGAATATTTGAAACAGACCACAGTGACTCCAGTTACCTCCTGGTGACTGGTGTATTATGTATGGGAGAATATGACTCAATTTTCTACTTTGCTTCTTTTACTTCAGTACCTCAGAGAATTCCCTAATTGCTCTTCTTGTTGAGTGGAAATCCTGAAATGAACTGCCTGTGTTGCAGCCAAAATTATTCTTAGAAAAACAACAAACTTCAAAGTGAGCACAGTGGAATCAGCATCACACCCTTTTCAGAAAAGATATAATGACATAAAAGCCACTGATATATTATATATTTAACAACTGAAAGAAAAATTCTGGCTGACTTAAAACAGAATTCTGGAAGTAAAATAATTCTACTTTGTGAATTATCTCTAGGAATAAATCAGTGTTGTCTGCAGCCTGATGTGAGGGTACTGAATATATGTGTGCTGAATATATTTTTTATATTATATATTTATTATATATGATACATATTTATTTATTGTGATCTCTTCTTCTAGATACTAAATTATTGAAAAGCAATTTGCTTTATATTAAGTAATTGAAGCATGACAGATTTTCACATTGGTATTGTTGGTATGTAATGCTAATATTCATGGGTGTGAAAATTAGTTGTGTTTCTTTCAACTCTTGACACAGAGAATTGGGGCTCCTTCAGGACTGCTTTACAGTGGTGGGTTTATTTAAACTCTGTGAGGACTCATTGTCATGCCAGGAATTCACCTTACTCGACATTCGTCTGTGCAGTCCCTTCCTCATTACTGTCAGTGAATTCTGGTGTCTTCCTAAGCTTTATTTTCCTAAGTCTGGAAAATGACTTATTTATGCCTTCTTCTTCACCATTAGTTTATTATGTCTTCTATACAGGTGTTAGAGCAGGAACCTCTAACACATCTGGTCCCTGTGTATTACCATTTGCATTTTCCCTTTGTTCTGTCTCAGGATGCACACCTATGGTACTCAATGTAACTTCAAATGTTACATATGTCAGAATCATCCACCTTCCCTGAGCACTATTCTGGATTTCCTTTTATTCATCTCCAGTGTATCTCATTTGACATTTTTGTTCAGGAAGACTACCATATGTTATCTGTGATATTTTTTCCCAGTGTGTCGTGTATGAGAAGTTATTTAGTACAGGTTTCTGCAAAAGAAAAAAAGAAAGTGCAAAACTGTCAGCTTAAAATCTTCTGTTGCTCCTGTTGTTCATTTGGACTTGCATACTGTGGGTGGCACTTGGGGGCTGGTTTGTTGCTGTCTATAAAAAGATGTGCCTTTTACAAATGGGAACACTGCTACATGAAAATACATTGAAAGATTCAGATGAAGATTGAGCACTTGTGTTTTTATCATGAAATATCTACATGATACCAGCAGCAGTCAAGCTACCTTGCTGGGCTGAGCTGATTCACTTTACCTCTGAGTGGAATTGCAATTCCTTATCCCTCCCTAGGCTTCACTGTTGATAAAAGAAATGTGTAAATAAATTTGCAGTGAAAAATTCTTACACTTCTAAGTAATGAAGCCTCATCCTTGATGTTGAGCTGTGAGAGACTGGACTAATGATGGCACAATTCAACTTTCAGAATCTGCAGCCTCTGACAGTCAAAAAATGAGGGAAACACATCCTGGTTTGTCAGATACCCTGAAAGGGGTAGTGCCACCTCTGGAGCACAGTCTGCTTTTCCTCTCCCTACCCTTTCCCCCAGATGTACTGGTTTATTGGTGAAAGTACTCAGGCAGTAACTGAGTAGGACTTCTTTCAAGGAGGTTTTTTCTCTCCTGTATCTTTGGTGGGTCAGAAAGCCTCTGAAGATTACCAGTGGCTTTTTGTTTCTAACTCAGCTTTGCAGCTCTGGCTTATGAAGTCGTTGTAGACAGTGAAACACTGCCAAGTTTTATAACTTTTGGCAAATTTTTTTCAAGTTAATTTGTCTTCACTTCCACTTTCAACACATGGTCCTGAAATTTTTTTACATCTGTCTGCTCAAGAGCTCAGAGTATTAGATTTTATGATTAAAAGCTAATGCCCATAAACAAAAGGATTTGTGGGGATCAGGGGAACTGTGGCAGGTAGAGGGACCCCAAGAAGCTAAGAACTGGTAATAGATTATCCTGACCTGGCACTCCCAGCACCTTCCATGGTGAGCAACGAACCCCTGGAGCTAATGGGGAACCCACCAGGACGAGTCAGCCCAAGGAACTGCCTCTTCTGAATGCTTCACAGAATACAGGGTACAGGACTATGATGGGATGTAGGGGGAAAAGTATTTTGGGATTCTGTGATATTTATTATCAGATACTTTGAATTTGGGAATTTTGAGATGATGTGAAACTTTTATAATGGGATGTTTAGTGAGTGGAGAAAAAGGAAAAGTAAAGGTGGGGCTTGACTGTACTTTGGACGAATAAGTGTGGGTAAAGAAAGGAGGAAGGGTAAAGGCCAGTTGACTATAAACAGGGGTTGGCTGGTACATTTGTGTGGCTAAGTCCTGTGCTTTATCACTACAACCTGCTTTATATTCTAGCTAAATTGCTTTTTTTTTTTTAAATTAATATATGTGGATGTTACAGAAATTCAACCTGGACTGGTTGGTGATAGACTAAGACATCTGATAACCAGCAGATTAGGTGGTGGGACAATGAATCTCAGAGGCTTGAGAACCTGAGGTTGTAGGAAGTCAGGAAGACCTAGGTCTTGGAGGCTGCTACCTTGTAGGTTGAATGTCCAGGACCAGCTTCTGTCAAGACCCCTACTGTGTGTATATTCCACTAACATATTTTGATCTCATCAGCCATAAAGAAGGACCAGGGCTGACCCTTTCACATTGTTCATGTTTGTGTGGGTGTTCTTTGTGTTTAAGTGGATGCCATAAATTATGCTTTATTGTCTCTGTGTTGGTGTGTGTATCCAGCTGTGGTTTATAGTATGCTTGTGCATACAATTGCATGTGTACATATTGCATGTTGGGTTTAGCCTTGATACTGCCTCACATCTTCATGGCTATCTCAGGAGTACTTTCTCGGTCCTGTCGACCTCTGTGTTGGGCAGTCTCTATTACAGAGACATTTGAAATCAGTATGTGTCCAACAAGTGTGATCTGTTTGTAATTTACAGCCCTGGGAAAGTAAAATCCCTTACAGTTCCCATTCAATGCAGTACAATCAAATGTATTCTATTCATATTTCAATTTTTGAGTCTATTTTTTAAATGGTGTCTACAGCTACTTGAAACAAAGTGTGATATACACATGTTGGGCAAAATTCAGGTGATTAGGCTAAGCAGGAGTAAACCTACTTGGTTTAGAACAAAGATCCACAACATAGAAAGAAACAGAAATGTGGGAAGCATGATTACTTTTTTTTTTTAATGGTGTAAATCACTTTTAATAAGCCCACAGAAGATATAAATCTATTAAATGTCTAAAATTTTTTGTTGTCTTTTATAAAATGTAAATAAAGTTTGGACCATTCCTACTTAGCATAGCTTGTTCTTTTTCTTTCTGTGTTAATCTCATAGGGTCTGGAGGTCATGTTACCAGTGTGTTTTTAAGCTTCACACAATTACCCTCAACCCTGTAAAGCATTGCACAGCAGGACAATATTTATAACTTGTCAAAAGGAAAGCCTCTGTCTTCTGCAGCTCTACAGGAGTCCAAGTATAATGCAGTGGTTATGAAGAGTATGAAGGTACAACGTAGGAATAATATATTTAAACATAACATTACTGTGTCTTTGAATATAACTTTTTGCAATCCATATTTTCCACTCAGAAGTTAAGCTGCATGTGTCCTCGGTGGGTTGCTGAAGTAGAAATCCTATTTATCTACTAGCTATTATTTTCTTAGCAAAATTATCATCTTACCTCCCATTATTTGGAGGGATTATTAACCTTAACTACTGACATCCAAGGGCACTTCACATGGTATTACTCACTTAGTCCTCATGTTACCCAACAATTTGTTTCAATTTTTTTTCAAGAAAAAACTATCACATAGTCTTACATTAAGCTCAGAGTAATTCTTTATGAAATAGAAGTTGCTCAGGTTATATATATATATATATATATTGAAATGGATATGTATTCACACCATGTGAAAAAAGAAGCTGTTAAAGTGACCCAGCATGTCAGAAAAGGATATTTTTCTCCATAAAATAACCTTACCATAATGTGGCAAACAAATGTTGGTATGATAAATGTAGAATTTTAGAGCCACTTAATGTCTTTCTAAATACATTTTTCCATGAACAATATGACTTTCATTCCTCCAATAAGAAATGTGAAGGGGATTAAAAATAAAAATTATGAAACTAATGATGAATATAGTAAAGTGTGTTCTCAATTGCTTTTCCCTCACTTTGGCATTATTGTTCTGATGTCTTTCTGTTTACAATCTTGCATAAGTGGAAGTGAACCACTTATAAAAGTGATTTCTTTTTTCTGTGTTTATATGAAATACCTGTCATAAAGCTGTTATTTCCTTTTTCATTTTTTTCCTCTGGGAATCTAATGAACATCTATCCTTTGAAAATCTGTTATTTTAATATTGTAAACCCCAAATTACGATATACTTTTAAAGTGTCAGCATGTGTGCATTTTCACACTAGTTTTGATATAATGAAAGCTCGTGCATGTATCTTCATGTCTCTCTGTGGAATCCATCCCACCCATGATTACTGTCATGGCTTTAGCATCAGAGTGCATCACATACTGACACTTTATCCAAGCTGTCATCATTTTACAACTGATCAAGTAAATATCTTACAATGCTAAAGACTGTCTTTAATTTACAGGTGGATAGAAGATGTTAGTGATTTCGTCTTAGCAGACCAACAACTCTGGATCTATATCACCTGTCATTTGATTAATTATGTACCTAGGGCAGCCAATCACAGAAATTTTCCACCTTTTCCCCTTGGTGTTTGTATTTGTTCTTCACGATTAGCCATAGTCACTCAATAGTTGCATATGACGAAAAGCAAACCTTATCAAGGTGTTAAATAATGGGAAAAATAAATGGAATTTGGTGCATCCAGTACATAAAAGAAATATGACAAAGACATTTTTGAAATTAAAGTTTTATTAGTTTGCTAACTTGGAGAGGTACTATGTCTTTAAAATGCAATTACACTATTTGAGTTAATGACATTGATCATCTCCTCTTATCACCACCTAATGAATAACATTTTCTCATATTTTTCTTAAATATATTTTACTCAATTAACAATGTAGGCTTCAGTCATGGTTTGTTGGGAGTTTTTGTTCCAGGATACGCATTATGTTTAAAACTATTACATGTTCAGTGACAAAACTCAACATTTTCCTGTTACTACAATACTGAATAGGGAGCACTTTGCAGTTCACTCTGGCCTACCATAAGCAGCATCATTCTGTGAGCCTTTGGGGCAGTGTGTGTTTACTGATGATCAGGGAGGTTGCCAAGGGTGAGGAGAGCCATGGATGAAGGCAGTGCAAACTCAGGGCTGATGTGGTGCAGTGCTGCACTAAGCTGCATCCCTCCTATGCAGAGAGAGGCACCCATGGGCTCTGTTTGTAGAGCTCACCTCTTCTAGGATATCATAGGTCTTCATCACATGTGTGATCTCACCTCATCTTGGTGTCTGCCCACCAAGAGCATATGTTTAGCTGTTCCTAAAGCTTTAGATGAAGTACTGGTCCTGGATGCCTGACCAACATGTTTCTCAGCAGAAACGCAGCTTCCTTCAGTGGAAGCCTTGACAAATTTGAGGTAGGAGTAAGTAGGAAAAGTGTGAATCATGACAAAGGTTTTTTTTATTAAAAATTTTTCCTGGTTGACAACACCTGTTTTCAAATATTTGAATCAGCTTGCTGGTTTCTATAGCTCTGTAAGATTCTGCTAGATATATGATACCCATGCTAACTGAAATTAATATTTAACCAGTCCCTCTCTTAGTTGCCACATGGGACCTGTCTGAATTTCACTTAGAAATTGGAATGTGTTACTCCCCTAAATAAGACGAATCAGCATCCTTCACCCATATCCTGAGTACATATCCATGTGCACCCTTGGATTTATCCAGCTAGTAATTTCAGGAGGACCTCCTAGGGATTGATACAAACAATTATACAAGGATGCTTTCTTTTCATTCCTAGATGTCCCTGAACAATCTGTCTGAAAATCTCCTACAAACTATTCCTACTGTCCTGCCTTTCTCTGTGATTATGACATAACATTCAACATTCCAAAAGGATGCCAATGTCACATAATGTCTCAATATGAAGATGTAGATGACAGCAAGTAATTTGACTTTAATACAAAACCTGTCTATAATCTGCTTTACTGTTAGAATGCTTTGCAGAAACAGAGAAACAGAGCAGCACTTTTTACCTTGAATTTGCATTTTTCCCTGTAATAACTTCCTTTCCTTTCAAACTTTTCCTTTTATATTTTTGAATCAAATGGTGTTGAAATCCTCCAAACTCCTTATGTGCTCTTGAATTCACCATGGAAAAGGTTTGTATTTCTGCAGTATATTTGCTTTTGAAAAATATAGTGTTCCTAAAACAGCATAATAAACATTTTGAAAGCTTTTTTTAACTTTACTATTCTTTCTTCCTGGATGAATTGTTTTGTGAACAGATAACATTGGTATGAAAACTAAAGCTCTTAAATAAAATTTTTGTGGCACGGATTTGTACATGCTCTTTAGAATTTTATTTCCTGCAATGGATACCAAACTTCAAATATTAATATGATTTTAACATTGCATAGAAAAAGACAGAAGGTTAAGATGCTCTTATGCCTTAATATAATTCTTACTAAGTAAGAAATGGTTATGGGTTATCAAGGCTTGATGTAGCTAGTGGCACATAAATGAAAAATAACAAATCTGAATGCAACAGCATGAAGAATGCTGAGTTACTCTTTCATTATTCACTCCAATCTCATAACTTCAGTGACATACAAGGCATGAAATACATTGTCAAAAATATATAGTTCAGAATACAATGCCATTAAATATTTTATCCAATTGGCAACAGTGCTGCAAAAAGACTGAACATTAAACTGAACCCTGTTCTTAAAAAAGATGACATTGCACTGTGCTTTCCAGCTCTTTCTACAGAATAAATTTCTCTGTCAGCAATTTCTTTTTAAGTAAAGTGAAGCAAGTCTCTCTCTCTTCTTTTTTTTCCTCCTTCTGACTATGCTGCAGAAAGTCTCTACCTCTAGGTAGAGTCTAGTCTCTATCCTAGGACCTAGAAGAAAACTCCTTTCTGTGACCACTGGCATACAGATTTGACTTCTATTTAGCATTTATTTTCTTATAAGGTAAATTTAGACTATTTTCTTAGCACAATATACAGTAATAAAATTCTGAGTTACAAACTGTGATATCTATTCATGCAAGAGAGAGATTACATACACACACTAGTGGTTCAGGATTTCATTATTTCCTCAGCTCATAGTGAATTGATTCTACACCAGTTTCTTACTATGTATCTTCTCTGTTTGGTTTTTTTTTTTTTTTTTAATCTTATTTTCCCAATGGCAGTTGGAACATCTAAAGAATTACTTTGTTATCTTTAAGTAACAGCCCAATATTTTCTTTGGATTGTCTCTTCTATCCTCTTTTATGTTACTTACATTTGTCTGAATTATGGCCATCAGCATATTTTAGAATATTGTCCAGGAGTCCTTTAAAGTCTACGTCTAGTCATGATGCATATTTTGATGATTTTAAATTAGTCTACATCATAGATTGTGAGAAGGTTAATAATGGGGAGGAGTTGGGTTGCATGCAATGGCCCAAATTTTTTAAAACTAAGGTTGACTTTGCTAGCAGCTTGCTTTGATCCCAGATATAATTTTTGTTAGGTAATGATTGTCTAGCTGGTGTATTGCTCTATATGTATTACTCTGTTAATAAACCATATGTTGCTGTTTCTGAGCTGAGGAGCTCAGCAAGAGAAATACCTTTCTGAAGGCTTGGGTGTGAACTTTAGTTCAAAATTTTTGTAAGCCTTATTTGCTTGTACAACCTTTGTGCCAGGTCAAAAGTGTGCAAGGGAGATTATGGGAAGCTGACATTTATATTGTTTATAGAGGGATGAAAGCTAGTTTTAAACAAATATCACTCCAGCCTCTGTGTGGGATCTATTGCCTATGCAGACACACTAGGTGCATGGGGCAAGAATTTCATTTCACTACATCAGAAGCAGCAAATTCCTACCTTGTCATTGCAATTTTTCATGTGTTTTCAAGTTTCTCTGCTTCCACTATCTAAGTAAACTCATCTCCTCAACCTATTGCCACAAGCTGCCGAAAACGCAGCAAACCTCACTTGAGATTCGCACCAAATGAAAAGATAAAAGGTAAGAATTAATAGCCGTAGCTGCTGAAATGGGTACTTTATACAGGGGCTTTGCATGTTTTAGAACAAGCTGAGACAATGACATGAAATTGCTCTTATCTTCTTTGTGACCTATCTTGTCTGTAGTAACTGAGGAGTTCTCCAGGAAAAAATATTCAGTGGGAGAATAAAACTTCAGCAGCCCTTTTGAACACCCCAGTACCTCCTGAGTCTTCCTAGCTGGTAAACTGTTAAAATATTCCTACATTTTCAGGTGAGACTTTAGACTGGGTTAAATTACGTATTGTAGCAGTGAGTGCAGGACACCCAAATATCAATGTATTTGATATGACTAGAAGTTTGAAAATGAATATACTTGTCTATGAGCATATGTTAATGATTTTAACAAATTAATTGACTTTATATTTCTGCCTATTCTGTATTTGGTTTCTGTAGCACCTCCTAAATTTTGTTTGGCCACCCTGGAAATGCACAGAAGTAAAATAAAGCAGGTATTTGGATGGGTTTTCTTAAAGTAACTTTTTCTGAGAATTCTTATTCTCACCTTACCGCACACAATGTTGCTTCTAATGAATGAAAAGGTGTGGCTTGTTTATTACAGGAAGCCAAAGCTGTTCCAAGGATGGGCTCCCTGGGGGCTACCAAATAGCCTCTGTGGAATTGCCATAGCTGGTCTTCTCTGCATACCACTGGATATGTGCCCTTAGAAAAGCAGCTTCACTTAACCATCAGGAAACAGAGAGAGGGGATATCACTTCCCACAGATACCTGTTAAATTGTTTTTTTGATAACAAGCATAGCTTGGAAACAGAGCTACAAAGCAGGGAAAGTGCTTCTTAAACAGCTAAAGTGTTACCCCTATCTTAGGATAATATCAGATTGTAAGAAGATCCCCCGACACAAGGAAGAATGATGCTCAGAACTCCATGATATCAGAATGCTAATTAATTACTTTATTATACTATACTATACTAAAGAGATACATACTACATTATATCATACTTACTTCTAACCACTGAAAAACCTGTGATAGTCAGCTGACAGTCCCGACACACATGTGTGGATCCAATTGGTCAATGAATCAAAACACCATCTCCAGAATGAATCAAGCAATGCCTTTGGGTAAATAATCTTCCAACACATTCCACATGTTCAAAAACACAGGAGCAGAAAATGAGATAAGAATTGTTTTTTCTTTCTCTAAGGTTCTTTGCTGTGATTTCCAGCAAATATCCTTGGGAAGTTGTGCCTGCATTCTATTAAGCCTGCTCTCTATTAAGAGAGATGCAGCTACAGGATAAAGTAATGTACATGCTGCCTTAAATATGGTAAGGTACTGAATGCATTTGCTGAGATAATTATGTTGTGGTAAGATGAAAGGGCTCATCTAGCAGGAGACCAGTGAAGTCTTGTTTTCCTCCTTGATCATTCTAGAAAAGACAGGGCTTTCTAATGCCCTGTGTGTGCTACATTTTTATCCAGGATTTTTTTTTAACTTTACTGGAACAGAAAGTATGAATGCATCAACCAGAGAATAGTCACAGTTAATGAAAAGTAGTAATGAA